CTGTCTGTCTGTCTGTCTGTCTGTCTGTCTGTCTGTCTGTCTGTCTGTCTGTCTGTCTGTCTGTCTGTCTGTCTGTCTAGCGATCTGTCCGTCCGTCCGCCCGTCCGTCCGCCTGCAAGTCTGTCTACTACAATTCTCTTGGAACATGTAATTTTCTGAATTGGAATTAATGTAAATAAATTATTCCACTAGGGGTCTCACCTCAAACGCCTGCAGGTTGCCTGTGGCCCAAATAGCTACTGCTTATAGATAACTTGACTATAGGCAAAGTTAATAAATTAAAAATAAGCCAATCACTATTTGGTTATTTTATACCTGTTCTAGGATCAAGAACTGCCAGGTGAGGAAATTTTGTAACGTGATAAAATTGAATGTATCTGTCGCCATCATCACTATCGTGGTATACCTATAACAGAATGTTTGCAAAAGCTTGCACCGTACTGTTCATCTACAGCTAAATCAGTGAAGGTTGTATAAAACTGCAGAAACTCGAAGCGAACTGCAGAGCGAAAAACACAATGGAGGTGAATAGAATAGCGGGCAAGGACATTGAAAAATGCTATGAACTGTTTTTCAGAGGTCAACGTGAATTACAGTAGCTGTCTTTTTTACTATCATATGCTTATCAATCTTGTATACCAAATTTTTACGATATTAAACGTAATCCTATATCAAGTTTAAAATGTTCATCACGAAAGAACAAGTTATCCTACAAACGATAGCGCATACACAATTTGTTGCAGTGCATTTATTCAAATATACTAAGGAACAATCTATAAGTCTGACATCAAAATGCAAATACACTATACTACACACATATTTTTGAAGAAATAATTTCCGTTACTTCTATGTGCCATATATCAGAAGTTATGAGTAATTGCAACACTGGTTCTCCCACTTACACTAGAGTTATAGAGCTTACGACCTTAGCTTACGACATTTCTGAAGCATGTTTTAATCCCTGTTGCATGTAAAGCTACAGTTAATGAATGATGTGTTAATGATAACTATATGCTATATGTTACCTGCCAGAGAATAAAATGCTCAGCCATAATATTCCTAACAGCTTCGTTACTCCAAACATCTCTGTTCAACTGTTGACATTTAAATTCCTTACTGTCCTGGATATTTACAATCAACCATTTTCGCTCTTGTTCTCCTGCAACCTTAGCCTTGAGGAAATTTTTAAATATGTTCACTGTTCATTAAATATAGGAAACCAATCTTCAACATTTATCAATGTTACCAGTTCTTCATTAAGTACTATTTAAAACACACGTATAGGAGTGCTTTTAGATAAGATAAAACACGACTACAAGTGTTTTGAATAGCTTCAAACACGACTACAATAGATGATCTTTATATAAAGAATACTAATAGGATGGGCTTTTATATAAAGAATACTAATGAAGATGAGTTTTATCCTGAAGGTATAAAACCTTTTCACGTGACATATTATGGTTGACATGGTTGCCAATACGCTTATGAATTACTAATGAATTACGGTATACTGTATGGTGCAGAATTAACATGGTCAAGTGCACATGTACTTGATATGCGAACAGGGCTTTCAGAATTATTTATTATTTATTTAGCTTTGCCAACTAGGGCAGGGTTGCAACAACAGCATATGCCAATTACTGTGGGCCCTTTTATCTAACCCACCAACTTTCCCTGTGGGAGGAAACCAGAGTACCCGGAGAAAACCCGGAGAAAACCCGCGACTTTCGGCATAGCGTTGACTTTTTGCTCTTTTCACATGAGGACTGGGTTTGAATCGCATTGAGAAGGTTCTCACTGAGATTTGAACCTGCGACCTTAGAGGTGGAAGGCAGGTGCGCTAACCACTTCGCCACCGAAGGACCATAGAAGCTGTGTTGATAAAGTAGGCGGCTGTGAGGAGAGGTCCAGGGAGTCGTAAAGTCATCCAAATGAACAAAACATAAATATATACTGTATAGAAGAAAACCAGGGAAATATTGTTACCAATTATTGTACAAACACGTTTTCAAACAGTTTGTAACTCACTGAAGAAATTTTTAGAAGCACTTGAAAGTGATGATTTTTTATATGTAGAGGTATATCCGCATATACTGTAGTAGCCTGAGTAAACAGCCGCCCATTATTGCTCGTTCCTCACAAGAATAAACATCATTGAGAGGCATGAGCCATAATAGGCGGCTGTTTACTCAGGCTAATACTGTAGCAACATTTTAAATACGAATTCGCACAGGGCTTTCAAAATAAGCTGGCGGCCACCGGAGCTCCGGCAGGTGCCACGAGTTCACCGCTGGTTACTTTGTTTACCACTTGAAATATCAATTATATTCTGCTCTCCTTCCACGTTATTCATTAAACGTTATGTCTCGGGACTTGTTTGTTGTATATTATTAAGAAATGTAGTGAAGACAATTCACTTTGTTTAAAAATGTCCCGTACAACTGGCTGGCTGACTGGGAACAATGTTTTGCTGGGTCTAAGCAGTGCCGTAGCGCTCATTGGGTAGGGTTAGTTCCAAAACTAAGGGCCCCCGACAGTTAGGGGCCCCATCACCCACGGCCTATCGCCCAGAAAATTAGAAAATGTAAAAAATGCAGGTTAAGAATCAATGGGAAAATGCAAAATTAATAATGCTAAAGAATTAAACCTCCATCGACAACGGTAGCTGGTTTTTTTATTCCATCTCAAATGAAACAAATGTTATTCTTATTAGCTGTGACATGTGTTGGAGACTGTTATTGCTATAGACATGGAATTTTCCAGACTACATTCTATAAATACTCAATATAAAAATATATCTCATGAGTCAAACAATGACAACAGTCAACAGGGGCCCCCACACCAAATATGCCTGAGGGCCCCCTGTTCCTCCGTTACGCCACTGGGTCTATTGGGTAAAGCACTATACAGACGCGCAGTTTTTCCTTGACAAGTTTTATTTGCTCGTGCATGTGTACGGCAACAAATGAAAACATTTGACCACGCAGCTTTTTGGACAAGGAAAATTTGTTCGTATGGCCGCTAAGGAAAACTTGGCAAGTGTACAAGAAATACTTCTGGCAAACAAAAGGCGGCCTTGAAGTGAGATAAATGTTTATTTTAAATAACAACATTCCGTGCACACGAGCAACAAGGAAAGGAAAACTTGTTGACTGTACACACCGGAAAGTAAACTTGTCAAAAACGTGTCAAGGAAAAGTTGTCAAGGAAAAGTTGTCAAGGAAAAGTTGTCAAGGAAAACATGTCAAGGAAAACATGTCAAGGAAAACATGTCAAGGAAAACATGTCAAGGAAAACTTGTCAAGGAAAAGTTGTCAAGGAAAAGTTGTCAAGGAAAACATGTCAAGGAAAACTTGTCAAGGAAAACATGTCAAGGAAAACATGTCAAGGAAAAGTTGTCAAGGAAAACATGTCAAGGAAAACTTGTCAAGGAAAACATGTCAAGGAAAAGTTGTCAAGGAAATCTTGTCAAGGAAAACATGTCAAGGAAAACATGTCAAGGAAAAGTTGTCAAGGAAAACATGTCAAGGAAAACATGTCAAGGAAAACATGTCAAGGAAAAGTTGTCAAGGAAAAGTTGTCAAGGAAATCTTGTCAAGGAAAACATGTCAAGGAAAACATGTCAAGGAAAACTTGTCAAGGAAAACATGTCAAGGAAAACATGTCAAGGAAAACATGTCAAGGAAAAGTTGTCAAGGAAAACATGTCAAGGAAAAGTTGTCAAGGAAAAGTTGTCAAGGAAAACATGTCAAGGAAAACATGTCAAGGAAAACATGTCAAGGAAAACATGTCAAGGAAAACATGTCAAGGAAAAGTTGTCAAGGAAAACTTGTCAAGGAAAACATGTCAAGGAAAACATGTCAAGGAAAACATGTGAAGGAAAACATGTGAAGGAAAACATGTCAAGGAAAACATGTCAAGGAAAACTTGTTAAGGAAAACATGTCAAGGAAAAGATGTCAAGGAAAACTTGTTAAGGAAAACATGTCAAGGAAAACATGTCAAGGAAAACTTGTTAAGGAAAACATGTCAAGGAAAACATGTCAAGGAAAACTTGTTAAGGAAAACATGTCAAGGAAAACTTGCTCGTCTGTACGTCGGGGCAAAAGAGTAATACTTTTAAAGTTACGCAATTCAGTTTGTACAGCAAGTAACTTTTGAATCAACAAATCAATCAATAAATCGAAATTTATATTATACTCACAGTCTCAAATGTTCCTTTGTGCATAATATCTAGTGGAGGTTTAAAGAGATCCTTTAGAGTCTTGCGTTTAGCCTTGCCAACCTTGCCACGTAACTGCTGTTCTTGTTCTCCTGTGATAAAATAGGTTAAAACTTTCAGGTCAGAATTGAAAGTTTCAAATCATACCGAAAACGTCATGCATGCATACATTCATGGCATCAACTATTTCGCTGACCTCAGACTGACATTTCGTCAAAATTTTTTTCTTCAAAATTGGTTTAGAAACGAATTTGGAGTAGGGTTAGGTTAGGGTTAGGATCAGGGTTAGGGTTAGAGATGGTGTTTGGAGTAGGGTCAGTGTTAGTATAACCGTTGCTTTGTTACGTTTTGTCACTCTGAGGCCAGCGAAATCATCTCTTCCTACATTCATACTGTTAAACTAAATTTAAAAAAAAACATTGAGCTTAAACAATACAAAATAAATAGACTGTTCAACTGTTCTTGGCTATTTGAACACCACCTCAAAATAGTTATTTCCTTTTTTAAATCACGTCTTCTGACCCAGTGGAAATTTTGATTTAGCACCTTGGATTTTTTTCATTACTTCGTAAATATGGTCAATGGAGTTTAGGTCATGGTTTTGTCTCTCAAACAAAGGAAAGGTGTCCCTTGTTCTGTGACATGAAGCTCTCCATCTTTTGTAAGATTGTTTCTACCACAAGTTTACAAAATTATCCATTTAGTTTAAAAGAGTGTACCCATTCAGCTAAACAACAGTTTTGGACCTATAGTAACAATTGCCAACTATACAATAATTTATGGATGAATACTTGACTTATTGGTGGTGAAAGTATGCAGTCTCTGAGTTCCCTCTAGTTTATTTATTATAAATAGTTTATTATTTTACTATACGTTTCTACAAATCTAAAGCATTGGTGTTTTAAACAGTGTTTAAAACTTCGGTCGTCAGTGATACATACTGGCCTCAGCTTGAAAGTCTCTGAATGCATCAAATACAGATTGGTTACCACGTCGTTTTGGGCGACTAACTGAAATAACAAATCATCATTTCATAGAAAATTATTCAATTTTGAAATCGCAATTAAAATTTGCATTTACCCAGCCTCGGTGCTAGCATGGATTATTAAAAGAGTGTTAATTTGTACGTCTATTAATAATCCATGTGCTAGTGTAGGTAGCAAAGAATACAATTCGCGGGCTTCTGTGTATTATAGATCATACCCACAAGACCACAAATTTACAAATAAGCACCTGGGTATGACGCTGGGATCAAGTTCGCAAGTTCGTTGCGAAGTTCAAAAGTTCATCATGAGATTCACAAACCAATTTGTAAACTACGCATTTGATTGGCTTCTTTCACTTCAGGGACCAATCAGAGACTTTTTTACAAATTGGCTTGTGAATTCCAATATGAACTTTTACTTCTGAACTTCGCAACGAACTTGCGAACTTCACAACGAAGTTCGGAACATTTGTAGTCAAAGTTTCGTGAAATCTACTGTAAAATACAAAACAATGGCAACTCTGCGAATGAAAATATTAATATTCTCTAGCTTTCGACTACATCAATCATCATCTTTCACTTTCGGATTTAGCATTGTTTTGTATTTTATTAACATATTCAGTGGTTCCTGCAATTTAAGTAGGATTAGCAATGTTACTTCATGCTAGTTTTGTAAAAGGTGCAATTCAATTTCCATTGGCATTGGAAACAAATTTGTGAATGAGTCATCTAGAAAACATTCACACCACCCCTTCCAGACAGCACAAATCTCCTCCTTGGGGGGAATGGGTGCGTGGTAGTTTAGTTGGAACGATTCGTTCAATGTATGGCGGTAGTAATTTTATTACTTGCTTGCTTGCTCTTCATGCTGTGTACTATAGTCATAGTTATCCTGAAGATGAATGTTTGATTGTTTCTATTTTAATAATAAGAAGCTTTAATATATCGAACTCACTAAAATTTACAAAACTACGTTTAAACAAAAATAGTAGACATTACAAACAGGAAAAGGTGACTTAGATAAGGGATAAACGGACTCAAAGTCCCAACAAGGCAAATTAATGACACTAGGACAACAAAATACACATAAAAGTTCCCTGAATATACACGCTTCCGGAAAGTACGTCACTTTGGCTATAGAGTCTCGTTTTCGTGATTGAGACGCGACCTTTAACTCATGTCAGATACACGAAAACGAGGCTCTATACTTTCCGGAAGGGTGTATACTACTGAGCACCATATAATGGACCATTTGCATTATAGACTAAATTTTGGTCTAGACAAAAATTTCATCACAGCTTGAAAGAGCATGATCACAAAATTAGAAATATTCCAAAGTTTCGTTGCGAAATGTTGTAAAATGTGGATATAGCCTTGCAACATTTGCAATTTTCAGTCATTTTGTATTACAAACGGGAAATTGATGCCCCAACACCCGATTGGGCTGTCAATTTCCCGTGCGTAATACAAAATGACTTGAAAAACGGCAAACTTCGCAAGGCTATATTATCCGCATTTTACAACATTTCGCAACGAAACTTTGGAATATTACTAATTTTGTGATGCTCTTTCAAGCTGTGATGAAATTTTTGTCTAGACTTGTCTAGATCAAAATTTAGTCTATAATGCAAATGGTCCATTATTGGCATATTCGTCATCTAATAACGCTTGTTTCAAATGAACCTAATGATTGAGAATAAGTTTGTGAATTTTAGTTTTCACCCGTTTCGAAAACTAGGCGACCAACCCGAGAATAATTTCAGTTCAAATGTCAGTTTCATGCTACACAAACTGCTAAAATATTGCAATTGCGGATTCCCTGGGACACTGGATGCAACTCTTAAAAAAGCAAATTAAGTATTTTACTTACTCCATTCCTTTCTGATTTCTATACTCATAGGACTGTTAGGCATATAATACAGTTATGTATTGGTGTTGGAAATAGTTTAACCAAATCATTATATAATATATTCAAGCTAGGTTCAAAGTATTTACCTCTACTATATGGACCTTCCACTAAAACACCTCTTGTCTGTGGAATGGGAGCTCTTACATCATCTTCACTATTTTTTTAATAGAAATAAGATTGTATTAAGCATTTTTAAAATACATTAACAGGCTTTGAAAATCCATCCTCAAACAATATGACAATATAGGCAGAAATTTGAACAACTGCAATTCATATTTGTCAAACTTATATTCAAACATAGTCATAGTTTAATAAAGATATATTGCTTCATAAGCTACCAAAATCAAAGATGAGGATAATAATTAATCATGACGA